TCCAGCGAAAAAAAAGAACAGAGTTGGTGAAACATGCAAGATTAGAAGAGGAATCTCAATCCAAGTTAGATTGATCAAACATTATTCGTGCTGTTTTATAAATTGCTATGGTACCACTTTCTTTTCTATAATGTCTGGATGATTGTTATACCCTTTTACAAGCTGATATTCCGCCCTCAATAAGTGATATGAATTATACCCCCTCATAAAGAGATGCGCTAATTTTATACCCGCAATATGGTGGTGAGTTTTATCCCGTCAAAAGCGGTTATTCTGCTCCCAATATGTTCTGTGAACTACGCTCGTAGACATTCTGTCCCCAATAAGTACTATGAGTGAATACAACCATGCATACAATTACAATTGCTCGCCTTGTACAGCCAGCAAGAAAATTTGTACTCTTAAAATAATTACAGTCTATTGTTAGCTAATTTTATGACCCTTGCTTATATTCTTATTTTACACCTAATTTCCCATCACTCACTCGTGGCCATCCATAATCACAATGTTTCATGGCGTGTATATTGGTAAGTAGGAATGCAACTTTGATATAATAGTTTATGTTACCTGACACAGTAGTTGGCCTCCGCCTTAGACTTTGTAAACTGAAATCAGTCGCAGTGACAACACTGACACATTATTAATAAAGATGATCCAGTTAAAGACAGTTATACATACTTGGTAGTAATTTATGACATCACATCAGATATACTCCCCCAGTTTTCTTGATATGCCTACCATGATAATGATATTCATATAATTCTACACACGAATAATCCTACAAAATAACATGTGACAGTGTGTCAAATGACAGGTATCGTAATGATAACTGTGATGATTGGGTGATCATAAATTTATCATTTTTTAAATCTGTAATATGAAAATGGTTTCAAATATCACATGACATTAGATGTTAGTCTCAGTATTGTATTGTGATTTTTGATTTACGGGTATGTAAAACGAAATTACATTAACGGATGTAACTGATAACTTTTCTTATGAAATTCTTAGCACCCCGTTGGCAGGCCAGTCAGACTGGTTCTCACTACAACAAGTTACGACCCCCCCCCCGCCAAATGCTAAGAACAACTGAAACTAATATATACATATTTACATGAAAAATTGTCCCCCTATGCGGACCTGTTTGTGCAGGAGTTTTACGACCGTATGCCTTTAATGACATCAACCAAACTTGTTATGTGGGAAGTTGGCACCCAAGGCTGACAGGTGCTACACCTTGCCCAAGGGTGACCTGGAGGTAGTTGTGGCAAAGGGTAACCTCATTCTTCCAAGTCCAAGAGAAAACTAAAACATTCGAAACACAGAACAAGTATCAGAAAACAAACAACGCGTGTATGCTTGCAGATAATCCACCAAAAGAACGAAATTCTTGGCTCCTGTGCGTGTTCTAAACTTGGATGTGCATTTCTGTACGAGAGTGTGAAAACTTGCAATATTTGCAAAGACAAGTATGCCAATAGTTTCCTAACAGCAAGTTGCTATACATCGTAAAGCATTTTGTGCCAGAGGACTGAAATTTCAGGCACTTGACCTACTTATAGAAGAATGCGGTGCGCAATATCCTGAATGTGACACAGGGCATTCTCCACTGTCCAAGTATTGTTAAACTTTGGAGTTGTTTCATAACGCGTGAATATTCATACTCCGTTTTAAGTCTTGACTTAATACTTCCAGAGGGTCACTAGAACCTTTGTTTTGCCGCTTGTTACGACGGCTGGAGTGAATCGCAACTTTAGCCATGCACGCAAAAAATGTTTTTTGCTTTGCTTGAATGAAATTGTTTTGAGCGACGGGGTGGGAAAATGATGACCCACCAAGCAGGAATCCGAAAGTCTTGTTGAACCAGACGTGACGCGATGTTCGTAAAAAAGTAAAGCAGGTTGTTATTTGACGAGCACTCAAAAAATATATTGAAGTGTATTGACCTCATCACAGAAGAGACACTTATCAGAACTGTTCAGGCGGGCTTTAAACAGAAGCCTCCCAGTTGGAAACGCACCATGAGAGATACGCCACTGCAGGTCCCCGTCTATTTCAATAACTGGTGCTCTATAACAATCATGGAGATTGGGCTTGGCATTTTCAGGCAGACTCAGTATGTCACGCCAAGCAGTATCTAGCTTTTGTGGATGGTGACTGATGCAGAGAACCTGAATCGGATATTTATAAAGGTCATCAGAAAAGTGAAGTTGAAAGCTGAGGTGTGAAAGAGAATGGTTGCATTTCATTTTACCTTTGAAGTAGGTGTTTTTCCATTTAGTGGGGGTGGAATCATGAACAACCTTTATACTGAGCTAAATAATACGCTTTAAGTGGATTTTAATTCTATCTGACAAATCAGCAGTACCCAACCAAATATTATTTGTTTCCTGGAATGGTCCCTGACTTTGGTTACCCCTGCATCCACAAAGTGTCAAAGTTCAAACTATTGACACAGGTTCATCCCAGTTCTGCTCGATATATGTTTGGCTGTTCCCAAGAACACCCAACAATTTCAATCCCACGCTGTTCCATTTGAT